AGTTTGTCCTGAAATCTGAAACATTTGCCTGTTATTATTTTACCTTAACACTAACAACAATTACCTCTTAATGATAATTACTCTATTTACCTTAGTACAGTAGTTAAGAAGATAAACAGACAAAATAAAATGTATAAATATTCGCAGAACACGGATGCACTGACATGTTTCTAGCCAGCAGCCATATCACCCAGCAGCTCACAACTGGCAACCCACTGAAGCTAAGCAGGTGTGAGCCTGGCCAGTATTTGGATGGGAGACTTCTTGGGAAAAACTAAGGTTGCAGCTGGAAGAGGTGTTAGTGGGACCAGTACAGAGCGCTCACCCTGCGGTCTGTGTGGGTCCTAAAGCTCCAGTATATTGATGAGGACACTATACTGTAAAAAAAAAAGTGGCACCATCCATCATATGAGACGGAAAACTGAAATCCTGACTCGGAGAGGTCACTAAAAATCCCACAGAATTGGGGTGTTACCCAGGTGACCTGGCCAGATCCCCCCGGTATTTACCAGTCATGGCCTCCTAAAAATACCCCTCTCTGAATTGGCTTTATCTCTCTGTTCTCCTCTGCACTGATAGCTGGTGTGTGGTAAGTGTACAGTGTGCACTATGGCTGCCATCCCATCATCCAGGTGAGGGCTACACATTGGTGGTGGTGGAGCACAGTTCCCCTTGCCTGTTTTAAGTAGATTTCCAGAAAAGGAATTATTATTTTGTGGGAGATCAGGCTATGAGCATGGTGACTTCTGTACAGCAACTGCAACAGTTTTACCCCACACCCAGCAGTGTCACGTGTCCTGGGGGCAAGAGGGTGAAGTAGTTCTTCTAATCCTTGGTGCAGGCAGCGTCACAACTCCCTTTCTTGTGCTTGGGCTCTGTCACTCAGGGGGGCGAAGGACGTCTTAAAGAAGAGGCTGAAAAATTACTACAAGAAGCAGAAACTGATGCAGGCCGTGGTGACGGAGAACAGCAGCACCGACACGTACTACGACTACATCTGTGTGGTGGATTTTGAAGCCACGTGTGAGGAGAACAACCCCCCAGATTACCTCCACGAGATCATCGAGTTCCCCATGGTGCTCGTGAACACTCACACGCTGGAGATTGTAAGTGAAGCCGTGTGCTGGAGTTGAGGCTCGCCTGGCAGCGTGACCGGAAACTCTTCAAGGTCGGTCAGTAGCAGACTGCTCCTTGCATATTACCGTTGAAGAAGAAGAAATGTATGCATATACACATTTATTTCTTAAATAATATTATAAATAATAAATCTTAATAAATAATTCCTCTTCCAAAGTACAAAACAATTTCGGAGCACATCAGTATGTTTATAATAAAATGATCACTACATGCCTGAAGACAGTACTCAGTCTCCACTATTAAATGTTAATTTAGTAAACAAGGAAGTTACAGAGACTAAAGAGCACATCCAAGGACGTTCTGACATGGTCTCAAAATTCCTAGCATGTAAATAACTCGACTGCTTGTGATACAGTTTACATCCCTATTTTCTCACCTCTTCTATGTGCCATTGCAGAAAAAGGAAGTTGGTACTAAATTACAGTCCCATCTAAAGCAGTGGTTTCCAGCCCTGGGTCTAACAGACCTTGTGCCTTCTGATTTTGTCCTGGTGAATTTAGTTATCACAGGCTAATTATCTAAAGTGGAAAACAGAAATTCATCATTTCTACATTTGTTTCAGCTCTTAAAATGTTGAATGAGATTTGTAATTGGTATCAACCCTGTACCATTTTCAGAGTTTCCGACCTTTTTTCATACTGGTGTGTTAACCAAATTATAACCAATTGGACCAGGTCTTGTGAACCAAATTTAGTGGTACATTATGTCTCATTTTCCACGGTTTTTACTCAGATCATTTGTTTTTCTACACAGGAAGATACATTTCAGGAGTATGTAAAACCTGAAATTAATACAAACCTTTCCGACTTCTGTGTCCAACTAACAGGAATCACACAGGTAAGGCAAAATATATTTTTCCATTAAAGGACAGGTTACATTTTTTTTTAGAGAACAGGATTTGTTTTTCTATGTCTTTTACTGCGGTGAAAATAAACTATTATTCGAGCTCTGAAATGATTTTCTTGTTCCCCAGAAAACTGTTGACGGAGCAGACACCTTCCCCACTGTTCTGCAGAAGGTGGTGGACTGGCTTCAGAGCAAGGAGCTGGGAACAAAATACAAATACGCAGTCCTGACCGATGGGTATGCTCCTTTTAATCGCCACTTCTGCAGAAGGGCTAACAGCAGTGCTCTGGAATACCCTGTAACCCAGTCTGTGCGTAATCCTTACGGCCTGACAAGATGAGGTGATCATATACTTTAGAAAGAACATATATCTCCAACACATATTGGTCAAGGTTCCAGGCTTTTATATATTTGTGTTCAAGAGGTTAGTAAGAGCTTGTTTTAGCTGGCATTAGCCAAAGCCTAAATAAAAATACTTTTTTGTGTCCTTTAGCTGCTGTATCTTAGTAAACTAGCATCCTTTGCAGATTGTTCTTATTGATTCTAAGTAAAGTTTACAAAAGGTGTTGAGTTGCTATTTGTGTTTTTTTCTAGGGCTTGGGATATGAGTAAATTCTTAAACATTCAGTGCCGTATAAGTCGCATCCGGTATCCCCAGTTTGCCAAGAAATGGATCAATATCCGCAAAGCCTATGGGAACTTCTACAAGGTAAGTGCTTCCTTAAATTCAGACACTTTGCTGGAAAAAAAATTGGCTGACAGACCGACTGTGAGGCATTTTTGCGAACTTTGGTTATATTAGGTAATATGCAATAAGACAAAAAAAGACTTGTAAAGGGTAAAACATACAGAATGGATGTGTGTTATACACTACTTTAACTTTATATTCCCTGTTTCTAGTCAACATAAATTTCCAGAAATACATATTTTACCCCTTTATGCATGCATGCATGCTGCTTTTAGCTTTCTCATTTTTTATTTGTTTTTTTTTACCTGGTAAGTAATTTGAGAACAAAGTCTTGATCACAGCTTTGATCTAGAGACCCATTTACACAGCAGGGAATACGGCGGAGCTCAGCTGGTACGATAGCAGCAGTCCAGTCAGGATCTGAGCCCCCGGCCCTCCCATAACCATGCCTTTGACTTCCGGAAAGAACAAGTGGGCCTGAGAGTGCTAACATCAAAGGCCCTGTATACAGCTGACTAGAGAGAGTACCGCCCCCCATCCCTTTTCCTGTCTGACCCCTGACCCCGCGCGGGGTGCCTGTGGTGACGAGCGTGCTGGTTCTCTGCTCTCTAGCTGCCGAGGACGCGGACCAAGCTGAGCACCATGCTGGAGATGCTGGGGATGAAGTACGAGGGCCGGCCCCACTGCGGGCTGGACGACTCCCGCAACATCGCGCGCATCGCCATGCGCATGCTGCAGGACGGCTGCCCGCTGCGGGTCAACGAGAGAATGCACGCCGGCCAGCTGATGAGCGTGCCCAGCACCGCACGCGATGAGGGCGCCCCTGCGCCCCGTTCGCCCAGCTGCAGGAGTTAAGCTGCACTTCCCCACATTCTGCTCTCGGGGCTGCTCTCAGTTTTAATTGTATGCAGGGTTTTTCCGTGTCATGCAGAATCTGTGCACACATCAGATATGTGCACACAACAGATTGGGAAGGAATCAAAGGATGGTGAAGAGACTTTGGGTGAAGGTGATCTAGCTTGTTCTTCATTATTCTAAACTCTGTTTCACTGGTATTTTGGCTCAATAGCTAATTATCGCTTTGCATATATTCTTCAGAAAGAGTTATTGCATACAAAACCTGCTTTTGAGAACAGGAGGATGTTACTTCCTTAAGGTCTTTCTGGATTCTATATTCTAACTTAATTTATCTTAGAGTAGTTTCTTCTGTCTGTTAGAGTACATTTCTGAAGCACAGACAGTTGTGTGATCAAGGGCATCAGTATGTAAGTAAAACAGATGTTACAGTACTGATGAAAAGCAGTCTTCACTTTCAGTAGAACGAGAAATGTTTCTGTTGCTGTGAACCACTTTTATATAGTGCATGCGATATACCTATCGCCAGCAGAGGTTGTTGTGCTACGCACTGCAGATCAGAGTTCAGTTTTAGGCCAAAGCAGTCATTCGAATTGCACAGTTTAACAATATAGCAGAATTTTATTATTATTATTTTTTAAAACCACATATATGATCTATGTATTAGAAGTTCCACTGATCTCCATTTCACTTCCCTTCTACCTCTTCTGAAATGAGTACAGAACACCTTGAAGCTGTGCCTTAGGAAATAAGCCCTCTGCCAAATACGGAGGCATAATGTCCTAATTTTTGTGGACTTCCCTTCGGACTTCTTGATGCAGACCTCCCCTGCATGTAGTCCTAATGTCATTGAAACTCTTCATTGTAAGTGTATAGGAAGGTACTGTGCTTGCCCCTTAGGATACAGAGGAGTTGCGTTTCTGTGACTGTCACACCTGTGGTAAGTGACAAAGTATTGTGCAGGTGAGTGTCAGTAAGAATTTTTTTTTCCTGTGTCATCTGTCTCCCATTCCATGATTTTCAGATGGCCTTGATGTTTTCTCCCATAGAAGCATAATTCATAGCAAGCTCATGCTTCACGAATGTTTACATACAATCCTAGTGTATCCCTCTTAAATCACCTCACAGTTTATGATTCCTGAGTGTATAAAAGGTGCTTTTTTTCCCCAATCTGTGTTCCTAATTAAAACTTTCTGTTGGTTTGCATTAATGTTATTTGTAAAACTGTAGAGGGGGAGATCTGCTGGAAGAAAATTCAAATATGCAATGTTTTTGTTTTCACATGATTTGGGAGTTTTAGCTGTAATTGGAATTAAAATGTGTTTTGCACTGGAGTATAGTGCTTCAGAAGTCATTGTGTTTTAAAAGTTGCTAGTTTGCTAAACAGTTGAACAGAAATGTAACTGGTTATTTCAATTTATTCAAAGAGTAGTTATTATTAATGAGATCTTTGTTTTGCATTACGCGTTTAAAAGTTCTCATCTCACAGCATCAAAGATCTCTCCGTTTTGTATAATGGATTGTTTTGAGAGTTGCATTTGCATTAAAATTGGAGAACCTTTCAAAATCTAATTCAGAAAGAAATAGGCTTTAGATGACTTGATAGCATAATAATTCAGCATGAAACATGCCAATGTACTGTATACAGCAGTCTACAGTTTTCCTTCAAATCATTTCGATGAATGGATTTCTTTTGGCCTTATTGTGTTTTTTTAAGTAAGACAGAAAATGTACAGATGGACGTTAAGTGGAACTTAATGTATGTTGTTAAGGAAATTTTTTATCAATGTGTTCTAGCAGAGCGAATGTGTGTTTCACAATGAAAACATTTCCATGTACCCTGTCAAAAGGATTGTCTGTTTTTTCACTTGTATAAATTTTTGAACACCCAAAATGTTTTGTTCTGCTTGTTTTAATCATATTTCTTGATCTTTTCCTTTTTTGATTGACACTTAAATAAACTTTTTAAAGTTTTTTATGCTTCATTTAAATGATAATCTTGAGGTGTTTCATCTGCAAAAAGCAAGAGAAAATACTTCAGGGAGACTTTGACAGCAGCTGTCAGAATATTTTAGGACTGCATATGCTGGGAAGCTTGAATTAAGCACATCGCTATACCCATGTTAGAAATGAGAAAGGTTTTCCCTTTGTCTGATTTGTCTCAGTTTAGTGAAGCCTGACAGCAGTGGACCTGGCTGAAGAGAGTTCCGCTGAGTCCTCTACAATTTTTACTAACAGTAGTTTCCAAAAAGCTCGTTTTTAGATATTAGTGGGAAAATGATCATTTTTTTTTCTTGAGTGTAAAATTCTTAACTGTTAATTGTGTAATGGCATTGACAGTCCTGTTACTTAGTGCAAATATTACAGAGTTTCTTCCAATTGGTTTTTGAAAGCTGGACATTGGTTAAAGGATTTGGGCCACTAAATCACAAGGAAAACATATTTTTCCTTGTAGAATGGCCTTTTGTAGTTTGAGGTCTTGTATTGTGCTATACTGTTGTTTCTATAGTTTTTTGTTTTTTCATCTAACTGGACAAACCAAGGATTCAATATTACAAGATTGAAGGATGATATGAAGTGCTTTAATATTAATAATGAATAGTTGCTTATACTTACATAATTCTTTTCTGGACACTCCACTCAAAGTGCTTTACAGGTAATAGGGACTCCCCTCCATGACTAAAAATGTGCAACTCCAGCCTGGATGATATGACGGCAGCCATAGTGCACCAGAACGCTCCCCACACATCAGCTATCAGTGGGGAGAACAGAGGAATGAAGCCAATTCATGGATGAAGATTATTAGGAGTGCATGATTAGTAAAGGCCAATGGACTATTTGTCCAGCACATTAGGGTTTTCAAGAAAATGCCGTGGGATTTGTAAATACCACCAAGAGTCAGAACCTTGGTTTTACATTTCAGCCAAAGGACAGTGCCCTTTTACAGTAGAGTGTCCCAACACTATACTGGGGCTTTAGGACCCACGCAGACCGCAGGGTTAGCGCCCCCTACTAGTCCCACTAACACTTTTTCCAGCAGCAGATCAGGTCATTGGTTTCAAATACAAACTTGTCACTTGCAGTGATTGATGGCAGCATGGATTGATGTTGATCAGGTGTTGGGACCTCATAGGCTACCCTTCTTCCAGGCTCATCATGATGTGACAATTCTAGCAGGATAAGACATGTCCCATTGCTACACTTGGATCAACAGCTTTGATGAGCACATGACAGGTCATTTGAGGCCCACTGAACATTTGTGGGATGATTTAGTACAATCTGTGCCATCTAGGACATAGAGCCCAATGAACAGACTTATTTTTGTCTAGGCTCTATGAGAGGAATGTAACTGAATTCCACAACAGCATCTTCAATTTGGTGCAAAGCGTGTAGTGTAGTACTGTATAATGTACAACTTGCATTGCCTCCAAAATGGGCCACAGACACTCTAAGCCTGTGAATTTCAGAGTGGATCCCCAATTGATCAGCCCTGTAGATTAATGTTAATCAGCATAATAGATGTATGTATCTCATGTCAGTGCATCTACTTAAAAAAAGGTTATTTCCTTCTTGGTAACTTCTTGAATGTTGTTCAGTAACAAGTTTCTTTGGATAGTATACTCACAGTATACCCCCATCAAAATCATCATTAGCCTCTGAGGGTTTTTTCGTTTACACTCATCCAACCCATTGCAGCTAAACAGTTGTTTGTTACCATCTGCCAGACCTTTGGTGTGGCTGTGTCCTGACTGTTGTGGTACATTCCCGTCTTCCTGTTGACCAGCAATATAATTCATTCAGTAATGCAGTAAATCTTACTGAATGTTCTCTTCGCTATTATCCTTTATGGGGAAAACTTACCAGTGCTCTTTGTGACAGGACATTAGTTTCCCAGTCCATTTCAGACCATTTGAACAGCATTTTTTCTGAAGACATATTTCTGATGTTGCTTTGAGAAAAGCTATGGTTGCATTTGAAATAAAACTCTCTGTAAGGAATGTTATTATCCCCACAATGCCCTGGAGCACATATAAACAATAGGGCTGTTCTCCTTACTGTGACACAGCAAATCTTCTAAGTCATATTTATATATTCAGGACATTAACCTTAAATCATGGTTGCAGTTCATCTCACTGCCCTGGTGCATCATATGTAGTACTGCAGAGTATCCACTAGAGGGCATTACTGATCCAACGGGAGGAGGATTTGCGTAATAAATTTTAAATGTTCATCTTCATGAAGTAGACAACTACTACCAAATTAGTTTTAATCTTTAGAAGAATTGAAACTGCATAAGAAGAGACAGAACAGATGCAAAGCTTTATAGGAAGAACAGGTAAGGGTGTTAGTTCTAAGGTTTTGAATGATATAAATGCGCCTTTTAAACTAAATGCAATTTCTTCTTGTACTGTGCCTTTTTAAGATTCAAGATTCAAGATTCAAGATTTTTTTATCTGCCATATACAACAAGTGTATTTGAATGCTAACTCATTCAGCTGTACCCAGTAACAGTAGAGAAAAATGAATAGGCACAAATGACAAACAGACATGGACAATAAATACCTTATGGATCCACTTGTTCGGTTCCACGGAACGCTCCATCGTGACCATGCTAAGTCTAATCTTGCCTAGGGCCATTCAAACATAGATAAGGCACCAACCTACTTGGCCTTTGTGGTCACTAGACTTTTACAAAAAATGGTTTCTTAATTCAGAGGTTCAGCAGTTAAGCCTCTGTGTCTGTGAAAGGGGACAGGAAACCAGAGAACCCAGCAAAACCTCCACACAGACAGTATCACAGGCTAGAATCAAAGCTAAGATCCATGGGAATTGAGACAGCAACACAAAAGGCCATGTTACTGTGCCATCCACAAACGTTAAGTAAATTAAATAGAACTTCAGCACCATTTTCAGCTAAGTAAACAATATCCCAGCTGGAAAGAAAGGATACTTGGATTTTACTATAACCAGAAAGCCTCAGATTATTATATGTTTTGATAAGTACTTTTACTGCATTTTACACCAACAACAAATCATTGTATAAATATAAGAAGCAATGTACAGAACATGTATAGTACATTTTTGGTACAATGTTTCAACTGAAGGTTATTTATGAAAAGGGAAATACTAAATTTACAGTCTCCTTCTCATATCTCCCCTCTTCCTTCACAAAAACATGGAAACTAAAGGAAAAAGAGACAAGTACAAATATAAAAGGAGTTGCAGCAAAATACTAATTATACTAAACAGTCTCTAGAAAGCAAATAAAAGGTGAAAGGCCAGTGCTATCAGGTTTCATCTGAATAGGAAACTGGTGACAGATCGAAATCTATTGTGTAGAAGGGAGGCTCAAAAAAAGCCTTAAATGACATAAATTGAACAGAATAGTGCAGAAAGGCAGACATTGAGTTAAATACATTGTTTGGGCTGTGGAGCCTTGAGAAAGATAAAGTATAATGAGCTGGGGTATGGTAAAAAGAAAAGTGAAGGGTAAAAATGGGTGGATAATGGGTAAAAGCATAATTTAGTGAAAATATGAGGGACAGATGACAGGGAAAATATTTGTGTTACCCAACCAGCCACTAGAGAGCAGTAGCGCTCAAGAGAAACAGGAGTATTAGATACCCAAAGTGTACATTGCAAATGCTTGGTTTCATTTTCAGTAGTTTCAGATTGTTCTAATGTAATTTGACTATCGTACAACTATCTCCGAAAAATTCCCGGAGCTTCTAGAAACGTTTATTATTTTACGGACAAAAGTTACCTCATATACTGTAGGAGAACTCATACATACTTGATTCATAAAAAAAAAACTGTTGTTGTTTTTTCAGGGGAAATAAGTAGATACTAATTCAAAATCCATTGAATATACACCATGTAACACTGAGTACACTGTTTATTAATCATTATTATTCACATTAATACAGCCTTTTTCATCTCAAAGGATCCCAATGGGACATATGACATATGGGAAGAGAGCACTGAAGAGCATCTAACACCTGGGAAAAGTCTGTAATCCCTTTCACAGTACTTTTTAAATACAGTAAAATAATTTTCTAAATTATAGTAATGACAAAGTACTTTGCAAGATTATTATTGTAAGGTGTTACGGGAGGTGCAGTGTCAGTTTAATTAGACGACAGCACTTGAAATAAACAGACTAATCTTAAAATGTAATGAATTAATTTCGGAAATTAAGCAAATAAACTAAAGGCTTATACGCGAAAACATTAAATATTTCATTTTTTGTTTAAACGAGAACTTAAAACGTAGCTGTATGTGTTTCTTACAGTTTCTTATATTAAACTTTTCCCTAACAAAAGAAGAACTCCAAAACTACATTTTGAAAGCAAAGAGTCAGCGGCTCGAGTGTGCAGCTGAAATACCCTTACTAATCAATTCTAGAATAACCATTAAGTTTTTAAGTTAAGACACATTTTCACATACTTAGACAATTACAATGCAGCACCCAGTATTGTGCTACACTTCACGCTGCCCTTACGTTTCGTATCCATCGGTACCTCCTCTAGAAGGTGGGCTCAGGGCTCTGACGCACTGTTAGGCGTTGCTGCAGCTCCGGTCTCTCGGCGCAGCTACAGCTGCAGTCGGTGAAGCTAAGGCGGAGGGACTCGGCAAGGGAGGAACACGGTACGTGTGTTACTTTGGTCGGATCATTTCTTAAATCTGCTAAAAACTGGACGGAATGTGAATGTCGTGGTACCGGAGGACGCGCTGGCGGTGCCAGGCGACCTGCCTGCCGTATTCAGTGGACTGTTCAGGTTAATTCTCCTCATTCATTGAGGTAGGCTTTTTTTCTGTTCTCCATGGCGCAGATGAAAAGGATGCGAATATTCTTGTTTTTGCCCTGTTCATATCATTTTATGATAGAAAAGCGAGGCGTTATTGCCGCTCGTAATGCCTTTGTTTCAATGACGATAAATGTGCAGAAGACTCGAATTGGGAAGGAACTGGGACAAATAATCATGCTGCCAGGATAATAGATGACTACTCTCAATGAAAACATAGAGGAGGGGTCTTAGTGAAACCATGGCTGAGAAGGAGAACAATCTGAAAACAGCCAGGTTGTGGAGAGATGCTGCTCTGCGCTCCAGGAAGCTGAGAAGCAACCTGCGCCAGCTGACCCTGAGCACCAATAACAACCAGAAGATCACTCTTCCAGAGAACATCAATGAGATAGAAGTCCTCAATCTTGGCAACAACTCTTTGCAGGAGCTGCCAGATGGATTGGGGGCCACACTTACCAACCTGCGCATTCTGATATTAAGGAGGAATAAATTTACCTATGTTCCTTCCGCTGTTTTTGAGCTCAGGCACCTGACGGAGCTGGATCTAAGTCACAATTGCTTGGGTCACTTTTCTGAGGAAATACATTGCTTGAATAGCCTGAAAAAGCTGTGCATCAGTCACAACAAAATCAAATCTCTGCCAACGCAGATAGGCATGTTACATTGCTTAGAGGAGCTGGATATTAGTTTTAATGAGCTGCGCGAGCTCCCTTGCTCTTTTTCCCAGCTGAAAAAGCTCAGAACACTGGATGCAGACCACAACAAACTCACTCACTTCCCAGAGGAAATTCTGTCACACAATGACCTTGAAGAGTTGGACTGTTCAGGCAACAGGTTTGAGGGATTGCCAGGTGGAATTATGATGCTTCAGTCCATCAAAATCTTGTGGCTGAGTAGCACAAGAATTTCCACTTTGCCTGAGACATTCTGCGATCTGAGGAATTTGGAAAGCCTAATGCTGGACAATAATTCTTTGAAAGCTTTACCACAGGCCTTTGGAAAAATGCAAAGACTGAAAATGCTGAATCTTTCTTCCAACTCCTTTGAAGAGTTCCCTCTGGTTATTCTTGAGATCTCTGGTTTGGAGGAACTGTACTTGAGCAGAAACAGACTGACGCTTGTTCCAGAAGATATAGGCAAGCTATGCAAACTTGCCAATTTGTGGCTGGACAATAATAAAATTACGTACTTACCTGATTCCATAGTGGAGCTTGGGCAATTAGAAGAGCTGGTATTACAGGGTAACCAAATTGCCATCCTTCCTGACAACTTTGGAAAACTCTCCAAGGTTAATATATGGAAAATTAAAGACAACCCGCTCGTGCAGCCTCCTTATGAGGTGTGCATGAAAGGCATCCCTTATATAGCGGCCTATCAGAAAGAACTTGCACATTCCCAACCTGCTGTGAAGCCGAGGTTAAAGCTGGTTCTGATGGGGCTAAAGGATGCTGGGAAGACTAATCTGAGACAATGCCTCATTACAAAGCCCCAGGACATGACTGTTGGAAATGGAAATAAAGGGATTGACGTGACAAACTGGACAGCAGATGCTGAACGGAGCCTAACCTTTATTGTGTATGATTTGTCCGGAGCGCAAAGCTATGATCTGATAAAGCCGTTTTTTCTTTCTCCAGGTGCTTTGTACATTCTTGTTGTCAACTTGAAAACATATGTATCCAGGCATTTTTATACTTGTGTGGGGTACTTCTTGCATCTTCTTAGTGCCAAAGTCCCACACGGTGTTGTGTGCATTGTAGGGACTCACACCGATTTATGCGACGAGGTGGAAATTGAAGAAAAATGCCTGGATATCCACCGGCAGATTGCCCTCCAAGAAAAAAGAGACACGGAGTTCTTACAAGGCCTGGTGCAAAAGGTTGACGAAGCTCTCAACCAGGACTATGACATGAGGAATTCTAGCCCCCATGTGTTTTACTATGGGGTTTCTGACAGAAACCTTCGGCGCAAGAAAGCGCAGCTGCAGTATCTACTTAACCACCGTCTCCAGATCCTCTCCCCAGTCTTCTGTGTCAGTTGTGTCCGAGACCTCCGAAACACACAGAGGCTGAAGGAGAAGCTCATGTCGGTCGCCGAACATCGGGAAATCTTCCCCAACCTGCACCGGATCCTTCCCAAGTCCTGGCAGATGCTGGAGGAGTTGCACTTTAAACCCCAAGATCTCTGGCTGTCCTGGTGGGACTCCGCCAGGCTGGGACTGCAAGCTGGACTTACAGAGGATCGTCTGCAAAGTGCTCTCTCTTACCTGCATGAGAGTGGAAAGCTGCTCTACTTTGAAGACAGCTTGAGCCTCAAGGAGTATGTCTTCCACAACCTCCCAAAGTTCATCGACATCCTCAATGTCTTCTTCCAGAGGGACGCTGTTACGCTCCTGGAGAAGCTACTCTGTGAATCTGATGGGGACCAGATGAGAGCCACCCAGCTCCACCACTATGTGGAAGGGTTCCTTCTTCATGGCCTCCTGCCTTCACACATCATCCGGCTGCTCCTGAAGCCCCATATACGGACTCAGCAGGACCTGCACCTCATCCTTGAGCTACTTGAGAAGATAGGCCTCTGTTACTGCATAAACAAGCCTAAGTGCAAGCCTCTGAATGGTGCCACCATGTGGTACATGTTCCCCAGCTATGTTAAAAATGAGGTGCCACATGCAGAAGCCTGGATCAATGGAGGGTCTGGTGTTTCTGGGCAGCTGTTTTCAGTGGAGCAGCTGCAGATTGAGTACAGCTTTCCATTTCTTTTCCCCCCTGGCCTTTTTGCCAGGTACAGCGTACGGATCAACACCCATGTGGTGCAACGCTCGGATGGCAAGTACCAGATATTTGCCTATCGGGGAAAAGTCCCTGTTGTGGTCAGCTACCGGCCTTCTCGGAGCAGGCTGCAGGCAGAAACCTTGTCCATTGCCAGTCATGCCTCTTTGCCAAATATCTGGACAGCTTGGCAAGCTATAACCCCTTTAGTGGAAGAGTTGAATGTCCTTCTCCAGGAATGGCCAGGCCTTTACTACACTGTGCATGTCCTCTGTTCCAAGTGCCTTAAAAGAGGGTCACCTAATCCCCACACTTTCCCAGGTAGGTCCGATTGGCAAAGTCTGTGCAGTTATTTATGTTTTATTGCAATTTGTTTCTGTTCATTCCGCAAGGAAATTAATTAAATTCATAGAAGTAATCAGAAAATTTCAAGCCTTTTCATTGTCAGTGCTCAGCTTTATTATGGAAATCACAGTATTTTGCAGCCTGGACCCTCTAATGCAACACACTTCATAGCAGTCTTTATCTTGGTCACGTGCGTTTATGAGTATGTGCCCATTTGGAAAGGAAGCTCGACAGTGTAGCCATGATTAGTCTGTTTGCTTGGCTGAAATCAGTGTCTCTACTCAGCGTTGAAAGGATTATGTCTAGCATTACAGGCAAGCATATTGCATAGGTACTAAGTGTTACACTGTGCCATGAGAGGATGCTCATATCTGACACTTCCAGGACATTCAGACTGAGAGAGGAACAGATAAATCTGGCAGAGAAGGCTGTTTTTTTTTTTTCTGTGTGCCTGACATATTCACTGGCACACATCTGGCTTCTGTCTTTTAATACAAATTTTCTCAAGACTGGTGTCTAACACAAATGATGAAAAACATAAGGCAACATAGGAAGTAAAAGTTAAGGTGAAATTTAAAATGTTATAGTTTTGTCTATGTATTATAGCCTTAAAGGTTCTTGAGGTGTTTTACATTGCATATGTTTATGGTAATTTGAGATACTAGCACTATTAATAATACTTCTAATACTGCTGTTACTACTGTTTAAATTAAATTTTCTTTGGCCAGGCATTACTTAAACATAAGGATTCTTCATTGATTCTAGTGGAGTATTTCTTGCACAATAATAAGGTTGCTTAATTTGAAGGGTGTAAGAAATGTACTGTAAGTGAGCATTTTAAAAGTCAGCACTGATATTTTGGTCAATACATTTAAAAAGTGCCTACACCTGAAGATGGCTTAACAGCCTAAACATTATATATATATTTTATTTTTACTGTTCTGTGTGAAAAGAATCTTTACCTATTCCTTTACATAACTTTACATTGAAACAAACCCTCACATTCATATTTGTCAACACATTTTAAGAAAACACCACATTTTAAAATTACAGTTATAAGTATATATTTAGTTGAATAAAACATATAATTACTTGAATTTACTTGGTACTTGGTGTTCCAGTCTGAACTATACTAAAGGGAAAATTGTTACATACATAGAGTACATGAGCTTCTCTTCCAAAAGTAGGCTGTTTGAAGTTTGCTTGTGGTACATTTGTTCGCAGTATACACTTGGGGTTCCACTCAAGGGTGGCGGGAGTGTGGGACAAGCTCCACAGCCATGTTGTTCAAACTGGAAACCCTGGTTCTTTTGAAGAAATGGCTGGATGAGATCATTTCAATTAGCTTTTAAAAAAAAACAACAAATGAGCTGTCTGGACCAAATGGCCTTTGCTCATTAGTGAACGATCAGATGGTTGTATTTACTGACATTACTTACAGTATGTGCCGGTGTTGATACATTACTCTTTAGAACTCTGCTTGGAACAGCCTTGATAAGGGTGAGCAGAATACATAGTATTGCTCTGTTGTGCTCCCCACAAGGCTCTTTATTTACCATAAGGGAGGTTTCATAATAGAGAGTACTGGAAATCATCAGGGCACAAACTGAAGAGATTGCACAAACAATAGATTCGGGTGGTTTCTGGTCATATATTTAAAAAAGAATCTTGTTCACAAATGATATCCAGCATAACTATTATTCTAATGGATTTTACATACTGTATGAGAGATGGAGGGTTTTTTATCCAGCAGTCATTGAAGGTGAGAATTAGGAAGACAGTACTGTGAATGTGCTAACCATGCTGCAACAGCAGGAGAGCTCAGGCACAGGACTTCAATCTGCTGGGCTTCTTTGGTGCTGCAAGAATTTTCAAACTCCTTGTGAGTTGTCTCCACACTAAGGACAACTAAGGACCTTGGTTGAAGTCGGAATGCTTGGTGCCTTAAGAATGAGTCTCTTAAGGCAATGCTTAGTTGTGTGTCTGTTGTTGACAGTTTAAAAGACTTTGTGTCAGAGTTTTCACTGTTCAGCTCCAAGCAATGCCCGCCCTGCTTGTATACTCTTTAGTAAAATGTTTGTGATTTTGAAGCAGACTTCAAAGCCTTTAAAGACAGAACGATACTCCTGACTGGAACCCAGTTATATATCATCACTGCTATTTGAAAACATCTTTACAGTTGCAAGACATTAAGCATTTAGATATTATTTGGATGTGTAAATTAATAGGTAGTGTTATTTTGTCTTGTCACTATACAAGGCAAAGCAGCAGGATATAATGCTATACAGTGTTTGTCTGTTTGGCTAAAGATATGCATACATTTTTTTCCTTTGTTGTTCTAGTTATGATGTCATGGCCAGTGTCATGATGCAGATGCTATTCCAGAAAGCCTTGGTAAGATGATATCTGTTTCAGGAAGCTGCACAGGCTGACGTGTCTCCCAGGGTGGAGAGTGGAGCACTTCAGTCGGGTGTTCCCTGGGGTTATTGTGAGAAAGGCAGGAATAATTGGTCTGTTCTGGCACAGGCATATAGTCTTTCATTTCGCTCAGATATCCTAGAGTCCTAGGAGTTTAATACAGTAAACTCCCTATAAAAGAGGACCTGACATAACACAAGTCCTCAGTGAAGCTACAAATCAGTGAAGGTTTGTATTTAAGTAAAAATACTAAAAGATGCATTAACATAATAGGTTATATGTTGGGTTAATAAAGGTATCCTAGGCCTGATAGTGACAGTGGCTGGCAGTCCTAGATGGACTTGGCTTAACCTAAGACATACTGTAAGCTTGCACTAATTACTCCAGTCCAGCTGCTTTTCTGACTGGAACATTACCAGCTCTAACTTGGCAGTGAAACACATGTTGCCATGGGGACCTCTTGAATTTTGCCTGCTGATAAGAGTTCTAACAGCATACGACAGGCCGGAGACTGGTGAAACATAATTGTTGCCAATAGAAACACAATCAGCACAATGAAAGTATGCGATTATGAAAATAGGCAAATATTTTGGAAACATTGCGATAAAATAAAACTAGTTATGGCAATCAATATTTGTTGCCTCACAACAAAAGTTAGACATAACATAACCTTCCAACCTAATGATTAAATTATATTTTATTGTTCTAATCTAATTTCTTTTTTAACAGTTGAAGACTCCTTTTGATTGATCTTACAGTAACAGTCTAATTCATTTTATTGTATATATTGTTTTTTTTTACTCCTTTGGATAACTAGGTTTTGGATTTGGGCTGTTCTGTGATCTATTTGTCAGAAAATAGAACCACACCGAAATAAGCTTTTTTCAAAGTACTTTCTTTAGTTTTACAAAGAGCTTTTCACCTTGCCTTAGTTCAGACACCAAAGGCTGTAATGAGCAATGACCAGGACTAATGGAACAAGTAGAGTTCTGGTTTCAGAAAATGGTGGAGAAAACTATTGTCATACTGCAAAGGTTGAAACTGCTTATTGCGTCCTGAATGAACTGTAGAAAAGGAAAGCATTGACTACAAACTAATCAACTTTGCTCTGAGAGTCAAACATTTTAAACCTCTGGCTCTTGTGTACCACTGTTTTTTAATACTTTTTTTAACTGTGGTGCAAAACATTCCAGTTTTTTTGTAATATTACATAAAATTAAGCAAAAAAGGTGAATGTCTAGCAAAGTACAGAAGTAAATCTAAATTGGAACAAAATAATCAATTTGAAACTCCTGACTTTTTGTGTTTCACTGCGAGGTGTAAACAATTTTCTTTTGTTACTGGACAAAATACTGAACTGGCATTTTAAACTATTAAAACCCTGGTTTGTGGGTGCGAGGTACATCATTCCGATTGTTTCAGTAAAATGCCTGCTTTGTCTTTTAGAGAAGGACCTACTAGAGAAATACCTACTGTATTGGCATACTGGGACTTTAAAGATAATTGACGAGATTGCACAGTTAGAAGGAAACCTTTATGTAACCAAATTAGTTAATTGACAACACATTCTCCTTTACTTTGTACAGAACAACATTTTACTGGAGCATTTTTATCAATGTATATGTACCTTGCTCAAGGGTACAGCACCAGTAATGTACCTAGGATTTGAACCAGCAACCCCCAGTAACAAATCCAGAGCCTTAACTGCATTTTTAATAGACTTGCTGTACTGAATCTCTTTGCCTTTTGTGATGTTGCTTGTACATGTGAAATACTTTAACAATGCTCACTTACATCAAGAGATTGTTTTAATTATTTTGTTAACCCTGTAATTTCAGTGCAGTGAACTGTTATGCAGTTGCACTCATTTATGATGCATAAATCCTCCTGTAATTGTTTCATTTTTTCAAGTTCCAAATTCTCCTGATAAATTATACAATGTCCTCTTTTATATAATTTAAAACTTTCTTTGAAAATTTGCTCCTTTGATAGAGGAGGTGTTAGTGTGCATTTGCACAAGTAATGTTTCAGTGATGTGCATGGATGTTCTGTATTTTGAAACTTAAACTTCAGAACTGAATCTGTTGGCTACTTTCCATCTCTCTGAGGTCATGACATTCCAAACTCCTTCACTCTCTGTCTCTCTGTAATACTGTGCTGAAAAGCCTGACTAGTGTGGGCCATAGCTTTGAGAGTCTTTGTGGATTAGTTCATGTCCGGCTCCCTGTCTGGTTGAAGTCAATTGGAATAATACAGTTTGCAAGAAAGCTTTAACTTCTAAGCTGAAAAGAGCTGTGCAATGTATCTGTCTGTACCGCTGAAACTAAGGAAATAATTGTGTTTCCCATTTGGACACAACGATATGCAGTAGATAGAAGAGGAATTCTGAATTATGTGATGAGGAAGTCAAGAAATCTAAAAAATGTAAAAAGTTCCTAATGAAATATATGTAGGCTCAAAAAAAGTTAAAAAGTTAAGGAATAATCTTTTTTCCTGTAGAGCAGACGTTATAGGTACATTCTGTATACTGATTTGCATTTGTCAACAGGGCTGACCAA